TTTCACAAGCTGAAAGTTTTGCACTGAAACAAGGTCAACAATGTGTCTTAACAATAGTACAACACTTAATGTCTAAATGTCCAATAAATTATTCTCTTATTCGAAATGCATCTTGTATAGACCCGCGATTGATGGTTAAAAGTCCAGAAAAAGCCCAGAACAAAATGAAAATAGTTCTAACGGTATTAATGCAGAATAAACATGTTTTACAAGATGATTGGGATGAAATTCTGCTGCAGTTTAGAGAGTTTCTGGACAAAGTAGTTAAGACAAATTTACATGAATTTTCTACTTTTGATCCTTAAAAATCTTTCTCTTGACACATTTCTCACTTCTTATTTTCATAATTTTCACTATTCAAAAGTATGGAAAATATTGAAAATGATTCTTATCTTGTCACATAGACAGGCCTCTGTGGAAAGGTGGCTTCTCTGTAAATAAAGCAAGTTGAAATTGAAAATTTAAGTGACTCATCATACATTTTTCAACGCCACAGTATTTGATTACATAAAATTTTCTGGAGTTGTTCTTAATATCGAAATTAATAAAGAAATGAGATCAGCAGCAGCTTCTGCAAGGTCTAAATATATGCAGTATTTAGAAGAACAAAAATCTTTAACTAAATCTGAAAATTCAAAGAGGAAAAGAAATATCATTGAGGAAGAAATTGATTATATGAAGCAGAAGAAAAAATTTCTTCAAAGGGACATTAAAGACATTAATGAAGAAGTAGATGCTTTAGCAGATGAAGCTGAGACCACCAGCATGAACATTGATTTGTTTATCAAAGCAAATGAACTTAGAAGAATAGTTAAAGAAAAGAAAATAGACATAAATTAGATGTTAAAATAGCTGAAAAGATTTCAGATTTAAAAAAAGCACAAATGTTTTGTATCTTTTATTGCACAGTTTATTATTATTCTAGTATCTTTCAAAAAAACCAAAGGAAATAAATTGTATGTTTTACAAATCAGTTATTTTAATCTGCAAAATATTCTTACATTGTGATTTTAATAGTAGTTGAGTTGTGTTTAAATAAATATCAAAATAAGTTAAATAATAATCATGTAAATCTCTAAAATAGTATGACTGTTATTAGTGTAAAATACACTTATACATGTTTTTAAAGAAATTATGTTCCTAATTTAATGTTATCTACTTCATAACTTGTAGGGAGTTAGTTTAATTTTCAAAATTGTTTTATGGTAAGTATTAAAGTGAATTTAATAATAGTGCATAATACACACTTCTGTTAGTTTCTTAAAGTGAAATTACAAGCATGAAGTCAGTTGTATGGATAATTGCTTTATTCTATTTGTTTTTTGTTTGCTGATAGGCCCTTAATTTTTTCTTTGATGGTCCTTAAAAGTCCTTAATTTTCATGTAAGGAAATGTGTACAAACCCTGAAAAGACAACTTGATTGATTTTTATTAGAGACATCTGCGTTCTTGTTTATAATTTCGTCACTCCCTGCTTCCGTTTTTGTTTTGTCTAACTTATGTTGGATGGCACCATTTCTGTTTTGTCTAACTTATGTTGGATGGCACCATTTCTGAGCAGGCGATGTATTAATGAATGGTGTTTTTTATGACATTCCGAACATCTGAACTTAGAATTGCATTTTGCGATTAAATGTTCCTTACTGAGACAGTTTAGACACAGTTTATGTCTTTTAACTATTTCATATCTTTGATTTGGATTTAATTTTAAAAATGAATCACATTTATGCAGTGGATGATTATTATTTTTGCATATAACACAAATCAAAACACTATCGTTTTAACCATCAGAGCCTTTGATTTCGAATTTTTTTCTAACGGATATTTCATTTTATTAGCATTACGATTAATGTTATCCAATAACTGACATCTTTTCTCTAAAAACGAAATTAATTCATCAAACGTAGGAACTTCCGTAGCATTAATGCTGAGTTCAAATTGTTTGCGCGTTTCAAAATCTAGTTTCTGAAGTACGATATTTAATAACAGAATATCCGATAAATTATTTTTCTCATACTTTAAAACATTCAAAGCCCTAACGTTTTTAGTAACATTATCTATTATATACCTTATTCCTTTAGATGATTCGAATGTTAAAGTACGTAAATCCATTATTGACTTTATATGCGTCTCAATTAATATTCTTTTATTTTCATATCTATCTTGAAGAGCTTTAAATAGAGAACTAAAAGTATCATCAACAGTTTCAAGATTTTTTGCTTCATCAGTTAATGCAGCCTTTAAATAGTAGAGTTTCTGAACTTCTGTCAGTTGAGTGTTATTCGCTATGATGTTTTGAATTGAAGCTTAAAATTATTCCATTCGGTATATTTACCAGAAAACTTAGGAATTGGTAATTCTGGCAAACGTATTTGTACTCTAGAATCAAATTTATTACAATCATTTTTATTTTCAGAATGTGCGATAGATGAAAGAATTTCCATAATTCTTACCTCTAGAACTTCCGTTCTTTCTTCCATTTTGGCGATTTCTTCATCGATGGCTGCGACATCTTTTTCATCAACGCTTTCGAAGTATCTAATCCTCAAGTTTCTAATATCCATTTGAATGCTTTGAAGGGATCTATACTTTATTTGAATTTCATTCTTATTCGAACTATCATCATATTCCTTCACTACATTTTCTAACCTAGTTAGTTTCGCTCTCAACGAAGTTTTATTTCTCTCTAATGCCAGCATTTTGTTAATTTCTCCGGCTCGACGGACCAATGTACTATGATTCTAAACTAATGAGTGAACTGTATAGCAAAAGTAGTAACTAATTTATTTACAGTAATTAACTATTTAGATTTAATACATGCTCTGGCATGTTGCTTAGCCGAATCCAGATGGCCAAGTGAGTTTCTCTACTTATCCAATAGGTGGCGCTGTATTCTAACTTAACAATGCCTAATGTAAGAATTGCCTTTTATTTTTGATATGATAGAAAAATATGGAAAATTTGTAAAATATGGTAAGAGAGATTATATAGACAAATGATTTCAAGAGGAAAAATTAATGATAAATGAAATTTAATCATAGCATGTTTATATAATTTTAGATGAAACATCATACGTTATGGCCATTTTTGCTTTGCTGTTCGATTAGTGTGACATTATTGAAATTAATAACAAGATATTTACTGCCACTGACACTAGATTTTAAATAGTAGTCTTTCCCTTCAGCTGACTAAATAAATGATTGTAAATTATAGTCCAGCAATATTTGCAAGAAAAATGGTACTTATGCATTCTCAACTGCCTTGGTAGAAATAGCTGAATTTTCTGAACATGCTAAATTTTGGCAGACTATTCACATAACCATTCTTCAGAGTGCCATGCTCAGTGCAGTCCTTCAGCCAAGCAACATTGCCATTTTCAAACGCATTCCTTTTGTGGTATTCTTAGTTCCAATGGTTTTTATTGATAGATCATGATATTTTTTGCTTTATACTCAGTCTTAAGATATATGCTTGTAGAATGTGTGAGCAATGGAAGAAACTGCTGCAAAATTTCTGTGGGAATATGGTATTTTGCTGCAAACTATCAAAAGGGAGCAATGATAAGGCTCATAATTTTATAATTAAAATTTGTATTTTAAATTACTAAAGTGTGTTTTCTTTTGATATGTTGATAATATATGCTGATTTACAATAAATATTGATAGTCTGGGAATCTTTTAAAAAAAATCTCTAATTTTTACCTCCTAAGTAACTTTTACCTTTCCATTTGTAAAAACTGCCAAGTAGCACCAAGGTGGTTGTGTTACATTAAGTACCAGTAAAACTAAATGCGAAGGATTGCTAGAAGTTCTACATACTCTGCAATTAAATATGTAATCAGTGGGTACGAAATCCCCAGCTAATGTTACTAATATGTACTGGGAAGGGATAATCCATAACTGTTATTAATAATGTTAGTTATCACCAAGAACTTTTATAATTCTGATTAGGAAAGTGCCAGAATATTTAATTATATAGTTGTAATTCTGTTTTTGAATTTATTAATAATCCAAATTCTCACTAATTGATTTCAATTTGTATTTAAGATTGAAGTGGAGTAACTTTAAAAATCTTAGGCTGATGTAATGCTTTTTTCACTTTATTGGTAAATTTTATAATACAAATTTTATTTATAAATTTTATGAATCTCTTTATAATATAGTAATATTTCAGAAAAAATATTTTGGAAGTTGTTTATCAATTTTGGTTTACTGACTCCTGAGTTTACTAACTATTCTTCTTCTTATAGGAAAAGTTCTTGAAAAATAAAACATCTCTATTGAGAATGTTTGAAAGTGCTTAAAAATTATTTAAATTGTATTGGTAGCCATTGTACAGATACAGATTGAAGTGGATGAGGTACTAGAGTTTCAGCATTGGTCTTACAGGTAAAATCCACCTCATCAACTGTGCCCTCTTCTGCAACTACCTAACTCTCGGGAGGACGTTCGTCTCAGCATATATTTTGAGTGCCTCCTTGCCGTACACGCATTATATGCTTACTAACCATTATTTTTTGCTGTGTGACTTGGGAGTCGGTATAGTTTATAGTGAGTAAAATCATAAGTTTTGGGGATTGGTGCACTTACATTTTTTTTTTTTTTTTTTTTTTTTTTTTTGTTGTTGTGATTAATCATATTGGTCTGAACCTCAGCTGGATCAATTTGAGAAAATTTTATCTGTTGTGAAAGTTTTGCTTTCTACAACTAGATTAATTCTGTTTAAAGTGTTGTCTGCATAAAACTTATAAAATGTGCATGAGTTATTCTTTTATAAGAAACTTTTTTTTTAATTAACTAGCGAAATCGTTCTGGTTGTTGTGTTAAAAACTAATTTATCCAATACTTGGTGCTAGACTTTTGTTCACAAGTGTAGCATCTTCATTAGATTATTCAGTTCATAGAATTAAATAAATTTTAATGTAATTTTTAGATGTACCAGATATAGTATTTTTAATTAATGTGCATTCAAATTATTTAATTCAGTGTGTGTATTTTTAGGAGAAATGCACCCGTACTTTGGAAAAAAGAGATATATCACATAACAGCTTTTCAGTTTATTGTTGTAAAGAACTTGGAGACAAAGAGTTAGCAGATTTTAGCTGTAATTGTAATAAAAATAATTTTCAGAAAATTGAATCTAGTGAAGAAGTATTCAAATCTACTTCGAGCCTTCAGGAAAGCCAAGAAAGTACATTTAGCTATTCTATTAGAGAACCTGAGATAAAGGTCAAAACACTGAAAGATACAGTAGTGACAAAGGAGGATGCTTGTTCATACATTGAGGAAGGATTATCAGATATTTTAATAAATACTTTTAATAAACAAAAGCTGGAAGAACTAGAAAAAACAAATGAGTGCGTATCATATACATATGACACTTATTCTTGCATTGAAAGCAAATGGGATGCAAGAACTCATTCTGGTAGCAGAGATGATACTCTGAATTCTTTAAAATTGAATGAAAATGTTTTAAATTGTAAGCAGAAATCACATGAAAAAATCCATTCTCTGAAAAGATATGAGACAGGATATGAAATGGATTTGCTACCAAGTGCAGATAAAATTTGTTCACTTGCTGATAGTGAATATAAGCAGGATAATTTAGATAAAGAAGATCAAAACGAATTCAGAAAAATAGAAGTGTGTGTGCAAGATACAAATGAAATTTTCTCTGTTAAAAGTGAATGCAAAGAAAAATTTAGTTTTAATAATAATAACAGATTTAGTTTAAGTGATGAACATGTTCCCGATGTTTCGAATACATTTTATGTTATTTCTAAAAAGAAAGAAACCAATAAACCTGATTTGCCAAATAAACGAAAAGAAAAAAAATTACAAAAATGCATAGGAAAAGTATCTTTAGGTGAATTTTTGTTGAAAGATGAAAAAAGCAGTTGCTCCAAAGAAGAAGAAAATGATGATTTTTATTGGCATTGCATGCAAAATAAATCTGAATTGTATGATTTATTACAATTGGAAAGTACATCTGAATTTCCTTCACTCTCCGTACAAGAAAATGTTTGGGCAGATCCAATAGAAGATATTTTACAAAATTGTTCAAAAGAAGAGAGTGTAACAAGTAATAAACCATTTGACAATTTACATGACTTTTATGAATACTTAGATGTAAATAAAAATGTAAGCACAGAATGTTATTCCGCAAACCAAGAAAAGCAACAGAAAGAAACAGCAGTAGTAATAATTGAGAATATACCCATTGGAACTACTACAGATGATGTGGAAGCATTAGTGCTAGGATATGGAGAAATTGAAGATCTCTCTCTGGAGCCACATAAGACTTGCTTAAAGGCTGAAATAAAGTAAGTTTTGTTTTTATTATTAAAAAATATTAATTATTAATTATGAAATAACTTTACAAATATTTTCTTATCATCTAATGAATTTCGTATGTATAATCTGTAATCATGATTCAAATAAATTATACCATTATTACAACTGATATGATCTAATATTAGAAAGGGTCAGGCAAAAAAATTATTTAAGAAAACTGTGTTCTAAACTAATTCTTGATAATTTAAATTTTCCGAGTAAATACATGCATATATTAATTCAGAAGTCAAACAACAAAAATCAGCTTTATATTTTCAAAATTTTCACAGGACTGATTTGCAGTTTTGCAACTGAGGATGGTGATTCGGTGAAACCATCGAAACTAGTCCTGTGAAAATTTTGAAAATATAAAGCTGATTTTTGTTGTTTGACTTCTGAATTAGTATTTATTCGGCATGTTATTGTGTCTTAATTATATGCATATATGTTAAAACTTTAATTTGTATTGCATGTAAGAGTTTTAAAATTTATTCAAAACTGGGAATTTAAATTTTCCGAGTAAATATATGCATATATTAATTCGGAAGTCAAACAACAAAAATCAGCTTTATATTTTCAAAATTTTCACAGGACTGATTTGCGGTTTTGCAGCTGAGGATGGTGATTCGGTGAAACCATCGAAACTAGTCCTGTGAAAATTTTGAAAATATAAAGCTGATTTTTGTTGTTTGACTTCTGAATTAGTATTTATTCGGCGTGTTATTGTGTCTTAATTATATGCATATATGTTAAAACTTTAATTTGTATTGCATGTAAGAGTTTTAAAATTTATTCAAAACTGGGTTATAATATATAAATAATATGTCTTCATGATTGCATTAGATTCATTAGAACTGATTGTTTCGTACTAAATTTCCGTATGTCCGTGCTGGATACAAGTTTCTTCAGTGTATTCTTCCCTGTATTCTTGTACTTTTTTAAGGTATAAGATAAATTTGGCTAAAATTCTGGTTAGCATATGCAAAAATGAGATAAACAAAAATATTTCTGGAATTTTAAGTTAATTGTTATTCTAAAATTCCTGTTGTGGATGTACAAGAATGTAAACAAAGAAAGATTTCCGTAATAGTGTTTTACTGTTTGAAAGAAGTGCTTTAACTGAAATTTTTATAATTAAATAAGTAAATAAAAATCTGAAAGTTTTCAAATTTTATATTACACCCAAAGGGCCTTTTTTTTTTACCGTTTTGTGTGTTACCTTTATTTAAATGTCATGTTCTTCGCACTTAAACCATAAAATTTAAGTCAACAACAATATCTCAAACTAATTTAAAAAGAGCATATCTTTAGAATTTCTTATATGCAGTCTCACACACTGGAGATTATTATTATTTTTTTTTTACAGTGTTGCGATTGCTTGCTTTGAAATTGTTGAGTTATTTAATGAGAAACTCATAAATGCTTTACAAAATATGAAATAGATAATGAAACAAATTTGGACTTTCAGATGCATATTCGAGTTGAGACTTACGTTATTCAAAATTTGATGGCTCTAGGTATTGTTGTTTTATCACAGTGTGGGAAACATACATACATTTATACAGGTTCTTCTTTATTTAATTTCTTTAAATATAATACAGGGACATAATATTTGGTGGCTACAATATGAAAAGCGAAATCCCCTTCTGGGCTAATGCCGTTTAGCTAAATAAACTTTTTTTTTTTTTTTTTTTTTTTTAAAGGGTCTAGTAAGAGGTAATGTACAAATTAATTGTTTATAAAAGTAGAAAAGCATAATGATTAAATTCAGAGTTCAATAAAAAATTTAAAATAGTTGTGGCAACTCTGTAAACATGTGTTGCACTCGCCAACCGCGCGCCGTTATCACTAACTGTAACCGAAGGTGATTTTGGCGACACACAGTTACGTCTCGTCGTCGGTGCGGTTGGTTGCTCGCTTTCCTCCAACGTGATTGTCAGTCAACTGTAGTAATTAAGTTTTAATATTGTGATGTGATTAAATGTTTTTGTTATCAAAAAGTGGCTCTTATGGCATGTTGTGAATTCATCCTTAAAAGCACTGGCAAATTCCAATACGCATAGTTTTGTTGTTGCACACAGCCGCAACCACGTGCAACAAATGGTGACTTCAGGACGGTGAGGCTTAAGCCAAATGAATCGTCGAAATTTATAGTACAGCAGAAAATTTTGTGCTTAAACAAGACCTTGTAATAATGTGCGAAATGCAGCTGAACCATATTTTTTTACTTATGTGTATTGGATTACTTATCGTGTCTATTGGATCGTGCATCAGTTTCATCATATTACAGCCACGTGGATTACCTTCATGTTTCCATTTGTGATCATCTTTCAGACATGTGGATTACCTACATCTTCCATTAGTGATAGTGTTCCAACATCAAGCGAGTGGATAATTTCTGTACATCAAGGTGATATTTTCTACCTTTTATTCCGCACATGGATTCGTATGTATTCGTCAAGCGGGTGAGTTTTTTCCTATATTCATTTGAACCCAGGTCCTAACATTAATTATTTTGTGTTTCTTCACGTGTACTGCAACAATATTCTTGAACTATATCTCTTTTTTTTTTTTTTTTGTTATCTGTATTTATTCATATTTATTATGGCTACTAGCGATCCTCTAGCCACTGATGACAAACAAATGGCTCGCGTTGCTGTGAAACCTGCCCCATTTTGCCGTAGTGACCCCAACCTTTGGTTTTTTTTCAATTAGATGCACAATTCAAGCTCGGGGGTATAACACGCGACGACACGAAATTTTATACTGCAATTTCCGCCCTCGACACTGAGGTTCTTCAGTCAGTACGCGAGATTGTTCTGAAGCCCCCCTCGGATAATAAATACGAGGAATTGAAAAATAAATTAATTTCAGTTTATGAGGAGTCTGAAAACACCAAACTAAAGCAGTTATTACAAGATTTGCAACTTGGTGATATGCGCCCATCCCAGTTATTGTCAAAAATGCAGGAGCTTGCGGGTGACAATTTTAAGTCCAATGTTTTACAATCATTGTGGCTCAATCGTCTCCCGAACAATATCCAAGCTATTCTTGCCTCCAGTAACGAGAACCTACCCCAACTGGCCCAAATGGCAGACAAAATTCATGATGTTCTCCAACCACAAGCAATTAGTCAAGTTCAGCATCCCAGTGTTGATATTTCATCTCTTCAACAACAAATCCAGGAATTATCGTTGCAGGTCGCAGCCTTACAGACACGATCTAAGTATCATCCCCGCTGTAGATCAAAGTCCCAGAACCGAAATAATAGGGAATACCAACGCACTCATTCTGGTACTCAATCAGACATTTGTTTCTATCACAGCCGATTCGGTGACAGTGATAGTGACGGAGGACGTGGCCACCACCGCTTTACTATTAAGTTAATTAGCATATAGGGCCACGTCCACTCTTATACAGAGTAAAGGCAGAGAGGCCACATGGGAGGCTTGCACAGGGCGCCCAAACCCAACACCTCTGGACCATCCGATTGGCAGTTCCGCGAAACAAATGCCACCGGGTTGACACCCGTCCAAAGTGCCCCGGTCCAGTGATTTTTGAATCTGCAAGAATAGCATTGTACATGGCTAAACAAGGGCAGATATACATTAGTAGTTATTTACATGCTTCTGTTAATACATATTTGCTGACATGCAATCCAGCACTGTTACATACATATACTTTCTAAATACCTACATGACATTACCTTAATTTGCTTTGGAATAATAAGACAGAGCTAGTATATACACCTAGCACAATAAAAATAAAATAAAATAATAATAATAATAATAATAACATACATTAGGACACGCTTGCCCACACTATATACACACATCGCAGACATACCTAGATTACTTATGCTTGAATGATACTGATCTACATTGAAATTTGCTGACATACTGACCAGTTATATTTACACATGGCATAAGTCTGGACCCATGTCCATTAGCTTATCAACTATATGAGTAATTTTGTTGGTCTGGTGTCGCTGCTTGACCATAAATCTGTTGAATGCCTCCCTGTTCGTCTGCGGGAACGGAATGTGCATGAACATAGTGTTCTGCTGTGCGCAGATCGCCGCAGCAGCACTGATCCGAATTGGAGATTCCAAATCTCTCAAAATATACTGGAAAGGGCCCATGCCCTGTGATGTAGTACACCATTTGTGGCCATGCAACCAGTAGTTCCCTATCTACTTTAGGCAGAAATGTATGCACTCGGCGGCCTGTGTCTTCGTTGTCCCACGCAGCCTGCCAGAGTGCTAGAGCTGTGGCGCGCAGATTCCGTTTTAAATGAGAAACCGGCCATGGGATTTGTACTGGGACTGCTTCGACGTTATGGGCTGCTTCTTTTGCAAGCCGATCTGCAGTCTCATTACCATGATTCCCGATATGGGCTTTCGTCCATTCTAGATTAATTTTTAATTCTTTATGAGCACGGAGGTATTCCTGAATAGCTGCTATTATTGGAGAACTGTGGGTGGGGTTAAGGATGGCGTATAACGTAGACAGGCTGTCTGTTATTATGTAACTATTGTATAGCCTCTGCTGAATTATCGCTTGCAGTGCATAGCTTATAGCTGTGGCCTCGCTTTGGAAGACACTATTGTGCGCTTCCAAATGCCCCTTCCATTGGCTTACTATTCTACCCTCTTTAAGTGCTGCATATGCACAGCCCACACTTTCGTCTATTTTAGATCTATCCGTATAATAGGTAACATCTATGTTCGTGGATCTTGTGGTCTGCTTTAGGTTGACATTAATATCCCGTCCTTGCAAAGACGGGTGCCTGTCAAGGCTGATGACTGCTCTTTCGAGGTTATCTGCAGTAAAAACCTCTTCCTAAATTGCGTTGTTTGGCCGAGTTGCTTGACTATCTGGTACGTAGCTTCCTTCTCGACACTAATCGACAAGGGTAGTATGCCAGCCAGGACTGCCAGTGCATTGGTCGGGGAAGTTCTAAATGCTCTCGTGATATTTAATAAAAACGGCCGT